GATACAGCCTAAGGAATGAAACCAAAGAAGTGAACAATACCTGCAAGGACAATAAGCAGGAACTATAAGCAACAGGGGATGAGCATTCAAGTTATAAAGAATAAACTCTGAACTTAACGCAATAGTCTTCCACGATGAAAATGAGGGCTAAATGTGCACCTTAGGCGTCGAGCCTGGACGTGAATCCCTAAGAAATTGAGTCGTAATCGAGAAAGAAAGCCTCGAAATTATAAGCCTTAAACCGAACAACATTGACAGCGACCCAGGAAGAATTATAAGTTGAGCCTAACAGGTAAAGGAGAAGAGACGCCTCCACAAAAGCAAGCAGGAAAGAAGACAGAATAATCCAAGAGCAACCAACAATAGCGGCAGAGTCGGAGGCATAAAACTAGGAATAGCCCCTAAAAACTAAAACACAACTCAAAAGCTAAGAACATAAGCCAGACAGACTACGGCAACCCCTCCACCCCCAGAACCCTGAGTCCCCCACCCTCTAAAGTCCAGGTGCCCCCTTGAGACCACGAAAACCAAACCCTGAACCCTGGACGTCCATGGTTGGATACCAAATCTAAATCAACAGGGCTGAATCCTCGACCTTAGGTCATACAATATGAAATCTAAGCCTAAAACATACGGCCAAGAAATTAACCACAGCAGACGGGACAACAAGGAAATCATCAATCCTAGAAACCAAACCGCGGAATCAACAAGGAAAATGTTGTCCGTGAAAACCAAGTTACAGCGGGATGCCGGATAAAGTGCAAAACATACCTCTCCAAATGTAACTCCAGGGAACTTAGAATAGAGGGGAAGTACTAAGCACAAAATAAGCAAGCGTAACATGCAAGTACGCATCTGGTATAAGCAATAGGCTCTAGACATTGACACAACACTTACGTCCAAGTACGGACACCTGAAAACTAGAACCTATCGTAGTAACCCATGAGGAATAAGCCATGACACCTGTAGGCTAAACCTTGAGGAGTGAAAACTAAATATTAAAACAAAAACAATACCCCATGGAAACTACACCATACATCCAGGAGCTGTGACCTCTGGAAATTCCAACATCGGAGCGAAACCGTGCTCGCGGCACAACCGGCACTCAACGTACAACTTAGGACATAAATCATAATCCATAACAACAGAACCCTGATAAAAATACCCAGAAACTATCACAGTAGTCTAAATCAGACAGACAGGACCTGAAACCGCAGGGTCTAGATCAGAACCGACGAATATATCACCTAACTCTTAAACACTAAATCAGAAGCGGAAAGCGCCATCACTGAAGCCCAAGGATAACAACCTGGGAAACTCGGGAAGCACAGTAGGGAACTCTCTGGAGTAGAGCTAAGAGCTGACGTTCGGAACCCCAAAGGTTAAGAAAAAAGACAAGATGCCGGAACCGCAGGCATGAGCCGCCAGGCGCGGATCCAGAAACAAAATCCGAAGCCACAAAGCCACTGAAACCTCGGCCGTGCAGGTAACGGCAGAGATGTAGAGCGTAAGAAAGGAAGTGTCAGAACTAAACCCTAAGTCCTAAACAATAAACCCTGAGACTAAGCCCTAAAAGTAACCCCTAGGACCTAGACCATAAACCGGAGAACCCAACGCACAACCATAAACACTGCACCCTGGCACATGAAGGGAGACACCATAGCCAAGAAGAGTAAACCCTCAAGCTTGGACCTTAAAAACTGACTCCTTATAAATAAAACCTAAAAAGTGAACCCTAAATCGTAGACCCTGAACAGTACACCTTGAAACATAAACATGAATCCAAGATATAAAACCTAAACACTACCAATTGAACCCTAAGGTTTAAAGACGCAACCCTGAGATCTAAATTGATCCCTAAACCTGGGCCCAAAGCCTAAACATTCAACCGTCCAGAGTAAATTCCGGGCCGGAACCCCCAGATGCTAACAACGCCCCCTCAGAACATAAAACCTAAGCCTTAAGATTACAGCTCAAGACTGAATGCAAGAAGATAATACCTAAACCATAACCACTAATCCATGAGAAATAAATAGTAAAGAATAAAATTTAAGCCATGAACGATCAACCATAAACCCTAAAACTACCCCCTGGAACCCTAAACCCTAACGTCTAGGCCGGGAAAACTAAGCGTTGAATCCTAAACCGTAAACACTACCCGCAAAAGAATAAACCCTACCCGTCACGCCCAAAGTCCTAGTCAATGAGAACTAAGCTATAACCCATAAACTCTGAAAGCCAGAGGCCTACAAACTAGCCGCCACAAACAAAATCCGGGAACCTCAGACGTCAATCCTGAACCGTGACCCCTGGACCCAAAACTCAAACCCCGGAAGAATAGAAATAAATCCGAAAACAGAAGCCACACCCCCAAAGCCTAATCCGTGAACGCTTTACATTAATACCTAGGACCTAAAAAAGAACACAATATAGATTGAAATGCGAGTTCAAAAATTACTTCTCACACGCTTAAGCCTGAGCCCCAGCAAGTCAAACATAAAAACTAAACTCTAAAAGCTAGAACGTAAGACTAATCCCTAACCGCTGAACCCAAAAGAAATAAGCATAAACCATAAACCCCAAACCCTGAATCCTAAACCCTAAGCATGAAACCTAACCCTTACGCCTGAATGCTAAACCCTAAACATAGAACCTGAGGCCAGGCAAGTACAACTAACCCCTGAGCGATGGAGCTTGAAACATGGACCCATTACTACCTTAAGCATTAAATACTATACCCTAAATCTCCACCATAGAAAGTAGGAGGTGGAACCCTATACAATAAACCATAAGCACTAAACCCTGATCTTAAACCCTGGAACAAATTCCCTGAACGATCCTCCGTGAATCCAAAAGACCAAATCCAAGACCCTGAAAAATAAACGCACAAGCTAAAACCAGGAACCTGAAAGCATAAACACTAACCAATCAGAAAGAGCTCATTGAAGCCTAAAAAACAGGCCCGAAGCCGTGAATCCCTAACACAAGAAGCCTACCCACTCAGGCCCTGAATCCTAAAGCCTACCCCTGAAAACAAGGAAAATCAACCAAACACATAACAACTAAAGATAGACTGTAAACCTGGAGACTGAAACAGGATATTTTGAAACTATGATCATAACACCTGGCCCCTTAAACGTCAACCTTAACCCTAACCCCGCGACCAAAAATCAAAACCCATGGACAAAGCCCCTCAACCTAAAGGCATAAACCCAGAACATCTGGACCAAAACCCGTGAAACATAGATCTTACCCCCTGAAACAAGAGCACTGAAACCTGTACCATAAACCCTAAAAACTAAACCGTAAAGCTGGCCATAATCCGGAATCCCTCCCCCCCCTGGCACCTGTTCCACGAACCCTAATCTCTGAACGTAAACCTAAACAATGAACCCTAAACCTTGAAACCCTAACCACTAGAGCTAAGAGTAAAAACGCCCCTGAAGCACATAGGGCGAAAACACTGCCCTCTAAACGGTAAAATCTAAAGGGTGAGCCCTACTCGGAACACACTAAAGCCGAACGCATAAATCGTGTCATATACCCCGTAAACCCTGCACCATCCGTCTAAAAGGCTGAATCATTCAACCAAAACCCTGGACGATAACCAATAAACCCTATGCCATCCAGAATAAGCCATGGGACCAAAGATAGAGACTAATCCAAAATACATACACCCAAGACATATAGCCGTAAGGTGTATAATCCTAAGCACTAAAGCTCTAGAACAACTGGCTAGAACCGAACCATGACCACTAAGCACTAAGGCTAAAAGCTAAAAGCCCACAACAAAAACCCCAAACCCTGAGCCATAAGACCTGAACCCCCCGAACAGCCGCATTCCCCCCTGACCCCTAAAGCCTACACCCCTGAAGCCCAGCCACTAATACCTAGAATTACAGAAGACTAAAGATAACCAGGAACACAAGACCCTGAAACCTAAGCCTAGACTGGAGAAGTAACTCCTAAAGAAAAGACAACGGACCCTAGGAGGAGAAGCCTACAACTCAGAAAGAACTTAAAGATCTAATCCAGATCCCCCGCAAGGAGCCGAATGGGTTGGGACCATCAACGGCCACGTAAATCGCATGTTGAATCATTCCAAGTGTGCCCTTACAAAATTCTTGGTGTTTAACGTCCAATTGGTCACTGGAAAGTCTCAACCCCGGACTCTAGCCATCACCCCCCAACTCAAAAACTGTGTACCCTGAACTCCAGAATTACGCCTGTATGCTCAATGGATGGATCGCGTCGGTCCTCTCCTCTCCCCAAAAGTAAATCCTAAACAAGAGCTCTTGAAAGGCCCCGCTGTCTCGACGGATTCGGTGTGCGCTCCCCCTCTTAGCAGAGGAGTCCGGGGAGGTGGGGGGTTGGATTTGATCCCCCCTGGGATTGGGTCACTGTTCTCCTGCTGGGGAGTGATGTATCTCGGCGATTTGTTGTATTCTTAACTCGGAATCCCTCCTACTGCGGCGAGTAATTTTTGCGAGACTTTGGCCTTCCTTTTTTTGAGACTCACTCGGTGAGGAGTCTGGCGTCTCCCCCCTACGTGTCTGGGGTTGTATTTGGCCTTTCAGGATGGTTGAATTTTTTTATGGTCTGGTGTAGAGCTGTGTACAGGTCTGAATGAGTTCTGCTTTATGTGGAGTGGGTTGGTCGGGGATTAATCCCTACCACCGCCTTTGCTTAATGTTGCAGTCCCTTCTTATTCAACGGGGGAATCTGGAGACTTACCTTCGTGTTCTCTTGTCTTGTTTTAACCTTTGCAACTTCTATCCTGGAGAATGATAAAGTTTCCCAGTGATTCATTCTTTCCTAGGCGGTGGGGGTGTTTCCTGGTTCCTTCTTTTCTTTATTGAGGAAGAAGGATCTCTTCCAAGTAATCGCCGCTCTTGCCTATAATCTCATTTGATTGTCCCAATACGGTGTCAGGCCCTTCCGCCGTGACCCCACCCAAGCGAAGAGTCACGTGAAATTTCCCTGTGTCTGGGCAAAGATGGCTATTCGAAGATCCTGTTCCTATAGCCCAATCTTCTGGTTCCTTGTGGTTCTACTCTGGTGGGTCTACTGAATATCCTCTTCCACATGTACCAAACTAATGGGATAAACCCTCCAGAAATTCCTGCTCCTACTATGCCCTTCACTAGTTCCAAAGTCCCCAGGTTTTGGTTGTGATTGACCGGGTCCTGAACTATTTGTTGTTGGATTACCTTCTCCAGCTTCTGACTTAGTTGATCCAGGGTTTGCCCTTCTTCAAGAACTAATCCCTAAAGAAATTTTGAATTAGCCTTCATGTATTGGTTATATTCATAACCTAGTCTAACATCGCAATGCGTCCTTCATGGCGAGATTCCTTTTGGGTGTTGATCTTGAGGTATGAGGTTCTCCCCCCTGTGGATCCGTTCCTGAGTTCGGGGAACTTTTCCATACCCTCTCACTCCAGTTTCGAGATAAAAGGGTGTCAGCGGACTCCAGTCTGGTTTAAGGACAACGCCCCGGCTGGTGGGGGGGAGCCTTTACCTCAGGCATCTATGGGAGGCTTCTTCCCTCACTTTTTCGGGGGTTTTCGATACTTCCTGCACCGGCCTATAGGAAGTTTGGGCAAGACGATCTGTCGTCTCAGTCCAAGTGGGGACCTCTTTCATTTGTCCCTGGATAGGTTGGGATGTCTGAAATTCCTTACCTGTTGGGCTTGGTTCGGATCCCATGAGTGCGGCGGATTACTGCTACAACCCTGATCTTGTCTATATTTCACACAACTAGTGATATAGGTCTCCTTTTCTTCGTCGTTTCGTGAACACTGTAAGCCATCAACGATGAGGGGGACTCCTTTCAGGAGCTTCGCCCACCATTCGTCCGCCTTCTGCTCCTTCATCTCCAGTGGATTTCCTGCTAGTTTTAACCTTCTTGTTGTAGGGAAAAGTAACTGCATTATCATCTTCGCTGCCTTCTGACCTCCCCATTCCTCATACCACTGATATAGAGTCTGGCATGGCTCAAGATGGGATGTTGTGTTTATCCATGTTCCCCCTTGTTGGTCTATATTCACTAATCCTGTCAGGAATATTGTCATTATATCCCGACATGCTATAAAGGTTTTCGTTTCCTCTTTCCCCACTGACAGCTCCGTTGTCAAGTCATAGAACTGCCAATTTTCCTTGTTCGGATTGTACGGACATCTGCTGCTGTCCCTTAACCCGTTGGTTGCCGCTATCGTTTCTGCTGTGCATCCCCCTTCCATGAATGCTGAACCCGTTTCGTCTTGCTGAATGAATCCCGCAAACCATCTTTCTAGGCCTTTGCATAACATTAGGCTGACTTTGTCGGCTACTGGGCATTCTGTTCCCCCCCCTGTTAGTGTTCGGCTCCATCTCGTGTCTTGGTTTGGGAGGAGGGTTTTAGGTCTTGCTTTTGTTCCCTTCTCCACTCTTAGCCTGATTCTCGCCTGGGGTTGTTCGCTATCACTGGCCTCGGCCACTGCTAGGATTTGTTTCAGATGTTGTCTTAAACTGGGCATCTTTCTGCTGTGGGTTTGTTCCGGACTCTTAGTTCGTTTGCTTCAGGGGAGTCACCTTTTGTTGTAGTCCCTTCTTTGGGGTTGCACCTCGGATGATTTCGTGGCTGTCATCTTTGCTTTCCCTCTGCCCCTGCCATCCTTGCTAAAGAAACCTTTCCCTTTCTTTTTTGGGTCCGGAGTGCACTCTACTACGACTTGCGTGTCCTGTTGCTGTATCTCTTCTCCCTTCTACCTGCCCTTTTCCCCCCCTCCGTCCTAGGGTCTGGGGTAGTTTGGAGGGTTGGAGTCAGGCCCCTGTGTGTCAGTCCCTCCCCCTACTCCTCTGCTAGTTGGGTGGGGAGTGCCCGTTCTCCTGTTTTGCGTCGGCCTGCGCTCGGGGGGAGTTACTTCCCTTAAGCCCCCGCTCCTGTGTCCGCTGTTTTGTCTCCTGCTCTTGAGGTGCTTGTTTCGATCTCGGACTTCGCCTGGTACGTGGGGGTGACTCTTGTTGTCTGGGGAATTCTTCGGCTCCGCTGCCTCTACTACGGGTCCGATTGCTTGGCTTCTCTGTTTTCTCTTATGTTTCTGCTCTTCTGGGGGTGGTTTAACCCCCCCTCCGTCCGGGTAAATGAGTTAGGCGTTCCTCTTCATCCCTTCTCCAGTGCCGGGCTCCAGTTCCAGGCTCTCACCTCTTTCTCACATGTCCTGATTTTCTCGCTTGGTCTTGTTTCGTCTGGTAGACTTCTTCTGCTCAATCCTTCCTTCCTCTGCCTCTTCTCTGATTTCCCTCTCTGGTCTCTCCTCCTCGTGCTTCGACCTACAGCCCGCTGGTTCTCCTCAACCATTTCTTCTGATTTGGGATGCTGCCTGAACATTGACGTCCCCCCTTTCCTTCCGGTTAGTCCGCTGGGAGTGTTCTGGAGTTCCCCTTAGTCCGTTCCGGATTAGTTCCCGGAACTTCCCTCCACCCAGGCTTCCTTCCTACCCGTCTATCACGTACCTCTGACTCTGTTCGTGTCTCAAAGACGATGACCCCCCCTCCCCCCCGGTTTCTCCTCGCCTCTATACCCAAGTGCTGGAATGCTCAGGCCCCTTTGCTTTCCCTCAGATTTGCTCCTTTCCCTAACCTCTCCTACTTCGGCCTGATCCCTCCCGTCAGCTCTCCATTTACAGGTGTTTCGTCTTTATATTATCCGTTTGGTCGCTGTCTCTCGGGCGTTTTCCTCCTTCCACGCTCTTAGCCTCCGGGATTCTGTGGTTCCTCGGTTTCTGCTTGGGTGGAGTGTCTAGCATTGGCATGCTGTCTCTCCTTGGTGCTCTCGGGGGTTTCATTTCGGATCTTCTCTTTGGGTGTTCGTCCTGGGTCAACGCCTGCCCGTGTTCTTGTGTAGATTCTGCTTTCAGTTTCTATTATACTCCTGGGCCTGTTAACTCCTCTCTGGGAATGTGGCCCTTCGGAGTGGAGATGTTTCGTACTTTCTTTCCTTTTGACTCATTCTCGGCTTTGCCTTCCATGTATTACACGCTGGTGGGTCCTTCCTTTCCTCCTGTACCCGGTCTGTCCGTGGATCCTTTAGCAGCCTTATCGACTATCTTATTCTCCCTCTCTCTCCTGGCGAGTCCGTTCACGGCACCTGGGTCGCTTTCCTTTTCTTGTGTTCGGTTGTCTTCGTCTTCAATCTCGGACTCTTCCTTCTGTCCTGTCTCCCTTCGGACCTCACCCTCTTGGGCCCGTTCGTCCTCTTCCCGGGTCTTGGGGTTCGGTTCACCTTCGCCATCCGCTCGGGATTGTATGGTGTTGCTTTCCTTGGTCAGTCCCCCTATCCTTAGCTCCTGTGGAGATTCTGTCGCCTCCTCGTTATTTCTTGCTGAGTTTTTCGCTGGGGTTGGGTCGCGTCTGGATGTTTGACGCCATGTTTTTGTTTGGTTGATGTCTGGATAATGAGTCTGTTCCGTCGCATGTCCTCTGAATAATTCCTCCTCGCGTTTGCCCATTGGGTTTTTTCATTCTTTTGGATCTTTTGTCCGTTCTTCTCCTCTAGCTTCACTTCTAATTTCTTCCCGGGCTTTTGTGGAGAGAGTAATTTTCTCCTCTCCTGGAGGTTGTGTCTTCTCATCTTTGTCCTGTTTCTATTGTTGAGCGGTATGTCCTTTGATCCTTCTGTACCGATTGGAGGGGCAACTGCCTTTGGGTGCTTAGATTCCTCCGGAGGGGTCTGATACTTACTCCTCCTCTCCGTCCTTTTCTGGGGGAAGCGTGGCTTCCTGTCAGGTTGGGCTCGCTCTCAATTTTCTGGCTGTACTCGGCTTTTCCCTTAGCCTGGCCTGTTTGGTTGCTGACTTAGCCCTGTGGAATCCTCTTAGATGCCCTCATCAGTTAGTTGCCTGATGTTTTGCTTTGACTTGCATCCTTTTGGATCCTTCCTCGAGATTGATGAGTGGTTCGTTTGAAGTTTCTTAATTCGAGCGCCGGCTATACTGTTCTGTTCCTGGTCCTTGGGGCTCTGGTCTCTTAGTTAGGAGCCTTGCCCGGCCATCCATTGGATGTTCGGCTCGGGCCTCCCTTCTGTCCGTGTTTGTTTTGAGTCTCGCCTTTCATATTCCTGGCGTGAACTCACTTTTGGGTTCTGGGAGATGGGCCTTGGGCGAAGTTTGACTCATTTGGGTTGGATCTGTTTTTTGAAGCTTATTTATTTCTCCCCCGTAGATTTTTTGGTTTACCTCCCTATCTACGATTTGTTCGCTTTGGGCTCCTCGGTGTTTGATTTGGGCTGTTTATCTCTTCACATCCTCGGATCCTAGAGCGCTGTCTTGTCGGGCCCTCTCGATTTTCGCTTTGAGACTGCTTCTATTCGTCCTTCATCTTTACACGTCTTTTGATTCCTACTGGTGTTTAACTCATACGCGGTAGCTAATATTCTGCTCCGTCCTGTTGTAGAATGCAGCTCTGGCGTTCTGAGGTCTTTTTGGCCCTCTGGGTGGCTCAGTCCTTGGCTCGTTTTTGTGCGGGGAATATCAGGTAAGTTGTGGGGATTTCCTGTTGGGCCTGTTGATTGAGGGAGACTCTCTTGGGTTCCTTCTTGGAATTCCTCTGGCATGTCTAAGCCCTGAATGGAGTCCGCTTCTACTGTTGCTTTATGAGAGTGTCTGGTTGTTGTTAGCTGAGTTGGGGGGAGTCGTTCAGATTTGGGTTCCGATATTTTCCCCGAACTGGAGTTGTTTTTTGAGTTGACCTCTTTTCCTGATTATTCCGTCGTGTTTATAAGGAGAATCTGCTGGATAGTCCCTGGCTCATTCGGCTGCTGGTACGTTGATCTCCTCTGTCCTCATGAGTCAACCGTTGTTGGGGTTCTGCGTCTGTCCGCTCTGTCCCCCTGGTGAACTCGATGAGTCTTCCAATATTTTTCCTACTTTTTTTTTATTCCTTCCCCTACGTGTACTTGTAGATTATGCCTTCCACTTTGGGGGGCTTCAACTGACTGAGAGTTCGGTAGTTGTTTGTGTTCTTTTGGTTGTCAGTCGGTTGCGAACGCCTTGGTTTCTTTTTCTTGGCGGCCAGGTTGCGTGTGACTTCAGATTTGCCTCTTCTAGTTAGTCTTCTGGGGTGATTTTCTTCGATTTGAAGTTGTAATTTGATCTCTATAGTTTATGTCTGATATTCCTCCCAGGATTTATGGCTGGGATCCGGTTTCTTGGGGGTCTTGGGTGACTTGGTCCGTATCTTGATGTTCTTTGTTTGATGTGGCTTCGGATGATCTTTTTCTTTGTTACCTGTCTAGTCTGTACTCTTAAGATAACATGAGCCCCTTGGGTGACTTATCTCCTCTTTTTTTCGACTGGAGCTTCTCCATGTATCCCGCTCAGGATACAGTTTGGAGGCTGGGTGCTCTGGAGATTCTCGTACCTTCCCTTTTCCTGGCGATTCCGTGATTTTTTCTTACTGTACTTCTTAGGGGTGTTTGTTTTTTCTGGATATAGCTTTCTTAAGATGAGAGAGGATTGGTTGTTTTTGTCCCTTGCTCGCTCGGCATTTGGTTCGAGCGATGGATAACACTTTATTTCTGCTTGCTCCTAATTGTTGGGTTTCCTGTTATGGGTTTCAGATCACTGAATCTTCTTTGATCATTTGCCTCCGGGGTGTCTTGTCGTGACTGTTTGGGAAGAAACTTTTCTGGGTATATTTGAAACGTATTATTTCTCTTTTGCTGGGCTCCACCTATATGCGTTCTAAAAGTTTTCATGTTTTTGTGGATGAGGTCATACCCTATAATTTATTTGGGCGCCTGTGTTTTTTTCTTCTTCGCCTTGGGCCGCTATTTTTCTTACTCCTGCACGAGTTGGCACTTGGGCGTGTCTGCGGTTTATTTTTCTTGTTTTCCTTTTTCTTGGGTGAGGGATTATCTTCTCCTACTTGCCTCATATCTTAGCTCTATTTATGAGTGAGTGTTGTCACATTATATAGAGATGTACTTGTGTTTAGGAGTTCATCTTAAGCAAAGGTTTTAGGTCCTAGTCATCGTTGACGATTTGGAAAGTGACCTATAACTTGTTGCTGTGACGGTTTTACAATAGAGATCTTGAAATCTTCCTTTGGGAGGAGTTACGGCTTCTTAAGGAGTTGTTTTATCTTTAAAATTTTACTATATATAAAGACATGCCTCATGGTCCTTTGAACTTCATAAATTGTCTTTATCGGGTTGTTGGGGATAATTAGGAAAGGAATAGGAAAACGGAAAAGCAAAGCTATATGAGGATTTTGGTTTAACTAATTGGAATCTTTACATTCCAAATTATCTTAACACATCAGATACATTGGACAAAATATTTTTTTATGTGACACTTTTGAGTATAAGGGGGCTAGGTAGGTATTTGTTAGTTTGTATGTTAATGAGCTGTTATACTATAAAAAGGGAGACCCTTCTTGTAATCCTAGTGACATTGAAGTTTTCTGTTGTTCCTGTAACTTGATTAGAAATGGGGCTAGACTCCCATGAAAACCAAAAAAGGGGTAAGAAAGTTGCTAAATTCTTAAGGAAAAAAGAATTTTCCTTAAAAGAATTAGTTAGTTCCTGGGATTAGATCATAGAAGGGTTTATAGCAGATTACATGGTAGATCAGGGGATGGAACTGTAGAGCTTCTAACCTAAGCCATAAGGTATAATAGAAACAGGAGAAAATCTGGAACATTAACCAATATAGGAGACAAAATGCTGTACCTAAATATGCTGTTGGGTAAGTCCTAAGACTGGTGTTTATGCTGAGATAGGGATGTTGTCAAACAATTTAGCTCCTATTTGATTTTGTATTTGGTTCTCTTAATATGTCTCCTGATACTTTATTCTAAGGTTGTTATGCCGGGGACAGTTTTTCTTCCTTGTGCGATTGGAGGTTGTGTTCCTATTCCTGCTTATAAATTTTTATTTCTTATTTTCTCTTTGGGTTGTTCGGTTTTATGAATCTACTCCTTCTGTGAATGTCTCCTTTCAGCTTCATCCTTATTCGGGGTGATACGGTTAAGTGATTTAGATTGTTTTATCTTTCAGATTCACTTCTCTGTTGGAATAGATATTCCTGTCCAAGTCCGTTTCACGTTGGAGGTACCAACTTCATCTGGGAAACTCTTTCTACTTGATCTTTCGCCTTTTTGTTGGCTAAAATGAGGGGCGCTTGGGATACTAGTGATATCTGTACTCTTTTGTTTAAGCTATTCTGGTAACATTGATGTTATGGAACCTGAGAATTTCCCAGGGACAACAGTAGTTTTGGCTTAATATTACTTTTAGGATATCGCATTTGGTCAAACGCTGTTACAGCAGCTAGATCAAAGGAGTTGGTAAAACTGTTAGTTTCTCATATTACAGCCGGGACCTTAACCCTTTCAAAAATAAGTTATTGCATATGGGAAGATATCAGTGTTGTAGGAACAAGGCTTTTACTTAAATAACGAAGCGTTCAATGTTTTATCTATTGCTTTGGTAAGATTTGGGGTTTATACTTCTAATTTATTATATACTACGCCGTGTTTATCTCTACGGTTAATAGAAGAATGGTTCTGATATTAGAGCACACTGTGTATATCGGAATTTTTTAAATAATCCCCCTTCTGAGACATGGATTATCACTGCACAATTGTGCTTTCCAATTAAAAATACTACACACACGTGAGATGGCTCAGAGAATTTAGCTTTTGATTATCTATTACTCCTATTCGACTTTGATTTACAGACAATAGTACTCTTCAAATATGAAGATAGTTAGCTCATTAGTACATTGATATAACAGTACTATGAGGAATTGGGCAATCTTTACCAATGAGAATGAATACACATCAGTATGTCTCAGGCAATAGGTCTGCTGGAATATCTATACACTCGACGGAGTAGGGGTTTCCAAATGAGGACACTCATGGAATATCAATATTTCACACAGGGAAGTATTGTGCATATTATAGTACCTTGGGTGTAGCGATAGTCTTCAAAAAATAGTATTCTATGTAATCCACAGGAGTGGCACAATCCTGTACTTCATATAATGGAGCCGCTGACCTTAGATCAAGAAACCTCACATAATTCTATTCGGGGAATCTCTTATTTATTATGATACATCGTTCTATACATAACAGTAGTTCTCCTCAAATAAAATCATTATTGTCAAGAATGTACTTTTAATAGAAATGAACTCCCTGCACATTCGTATGGTTCAAATAATAGTGCTCCTAAGAGAATCGGACTCATCCTTCGACGGCACTTCGAAGGTAATGGTCCTTTTAGTATAATAGCACTCAAACTCATCCATATACGTCAAACATTAGTACTGTGATATAAAGGTATTATCGGAAAATGTTCGTTCCTGACCTTGGTGACTCCTGACACCTCAATAATCTTCAGGCAATATTTCTCTTGGTATATCCATGTACTTCATAGAATAATGTTTCTCATATAATGGAAGCGTGAACTCTGAATCCTTCGCATAAACTACAACAAGAACATCCATACCCTTCCTATAACAGTATTATACGTAAATCCTGACACTGCAACTCCCTTAGAAATGCAGATGACTATTCTCCAAACAAGAGTATCCCAAGCGGGCTTTTGCTCTTCAAATGGAGGAATGATAGGCAGTTCAGTACCTTGAACATATCAGTACTACGTACAAGTGGGTAGCCTCCATACAATAAGACTCCAGAAGATCCTTACCCTTGAAACAACTCTGCACTTCAATTAACACTGTCATCCAGGTAACACTGCTATTGAGCTACTAGTACTCCAGGAACATCATCATTTCTAAAGCAATAATACACCAGGATAGAAGTGCCTTCCCATACATCCGTATATTATTTGTGTCTGGTAATGCTATCATATCAGTATGGTTATGATATTTAAACATCACCTATGTAGCCATCCTCATAAATAGCTCAAGAAAGAACATATCTTCCTAATGGCTCCACATCGAAATAAAGGAAAAAGGTCGATCGGAATGTAAAGTAGGAAAGATTCTAATAAAGAAGAATGACATACAATAGAACATATCCACAGGGATGCAGCCAGAAGAGCCGCTTCCCAATAATACGGACAAAAGAATCTCTTCAAGATGAAGCAACCTCAAAAGGCATTTTGACAATAATCGAGGCAAGGGAAGATGTTCAAAATGACGCGACAAGAAGACGCCCGGAGGATCCCAGCAGAAGAGAGCCTCTTCATAAAAAAAATAAAGGACAAAACAGCATCCTAACCCTGTCGCGAAGAGGAGGCATCTTCATAGAGAAGATAACAGAGCAAGAACCAACTTCACAGTGTCGCGAAGAAGGTACATCATCGTAGAAAAGATGAAACACGGAAAAACATCTTCACGATGCCTCAGGAGGAAGGAGAATCCATATACAACAAGTGACACGAAAGAATATCTTCAGGCTGCCGCCGAAAAATAGCATCCTAGGGATACCACGGAAAGGAGATATCTTCATAAAAGAAAAAGCTTCGCAATAAGATCCCTTAGCAGTAACATGATAAAAGGAGAAAGGATCTTTATAAAGGAGTCAAACAGAGAAATATCATCCATATAACGCGGTAAGAAGGATCTTCGTAAACAAGATGCTACGAAAAGAAGAATTCTCACAATGATGTGGAACGGGAACCCTCATCAGGGTACCCAAAGAAGAAAGGATTGTCAGGGAAAGAAGGCACTACAGGGAAGACTCGTCATAGTGACAAAGCGAAGGAAATCATCTCTATAAGAATGACGAACAAAACAATATATTAAGAGAAGAACGCGATAAAATGAATCTTAGAGAAAAAAATTGCCCCACACAGAAGATACCTCACAATGACAGAGCCTAAGGAAGGAAAACTTCGTAAAAATGGAACAGGAAATATCATCCTGAAAAAGATGCCACCAACAGAGGAGGCATCACAGTACCGCGGCCAAAGGATACACATGGCAGTGACGGCACCCGAGAACGGCGCGATAACCCGCAGGAGAAGCTTCATAAGGATTCAGGAGAACAGAGAATCATCATGAAGAAACTACACGAAGAGAATCGTCCAAAAAATGCAACAGATAAGGGCATTTTCATAGAAATGGCAGGAGGAGGGGTATTTTCATAAGGATGATGCGGAAAATGTCAAGATAAAGGAACCCTCCAGAAAAATTTCGTCAGAGGAATGCAGCAGAGAGGGGTATCCTCATGAAGAAATTGAATAGAGAAATATAGATAATAAAGCCAAACGGAACAGCACGCGTGCAACACATATAACAAAGGGGAGGACCCTGCCAAGATTTTATCAACATGGAAGGACATTGGCAAGGATAAGCGACATGAGGCCACAACCGGGGAAAATTACACCACATGGAAGGGCGTTCGCGAAGATTAGGTCACATTAAAGCATGTTCGCGAAATTATCCAACATGAACCGACGTTCGCGAAATTATCCAAAATGAAACGACGTTCCCGAAATTACCCAACATGAAAGAACATTCCCGAAATTACCCAACATGAAACGACATTCCCGAAATTACCCAACATGAAGCGACGTTCGCGAAATTACCCAACATGAGACGACGTTCGCGAAATTATCTAACGTAAAACCACGTTTTCGAAATTACCACACGTGAAGAAGCGCTTGTAAAATACCCCCACGTGAAACGACGCTCGCAACCTTAGGGCATATGAGGACGCCTATATATGGAGGAGGCGCCATGGAATAATACTCTCAGAAGAATGCAGAAACATGATAAAACATACACAGGAAGAATGCAACATACGGGGGGATACTACTAAGAGAATCAGAACATCAAAGAACACACTCACAGAAAGGATTCGGCATGAGGGCGCATTCACAAACTAAGGTAATTATAAATGAAGACATATAATCGCGACTGCTCAGCATTTCACGCTGTACCCATTGGATCTGCATATCTCTATTCCATTGTACTCATTGCCGTTTTCACAGGAAGGCATGAACACATTTAAACACAATAACAGTCTTTTCAATCATAGGCAACATGCAATTAGAGTTCAATAAGGAATTAGAACTCATATTATACTACTTCAAATTCTACAATCCATTACTCCCTTTATATAGGCATAGATAAGACACGTCATGAACAATCGTGTAATTTTAGGGGGCACATTTTTATGCCAAATAAACAATCTTCTAACCTGAATTTGTATATAATGGTAACTATGTTCTCCTTGCGCTCAAAAAGGTTTAACCATCCGTGCCATTTTCTTTCCTTCTCGTTGGGTTCTTGTGTATCCCTCTCCAGTATTACGCCAGATGAGCATCATTATTCACGAGGTTATCATCTTCTATTCATATGACAGATGAATTAATCCCATATATAAAAGGGAAGAAATATATATATATGTATGTATATCCATGGGTATATATAGATTCCATGGTAACATATAGGAACCTCAAGAACACATAGGTTGTTATCGATCAATAATAGCAATGTAGGGAGCTATGTAAATTACTTGTATTTCTTCGGCCAACCTGTTCGTTATGTTCCTCGAAATTGATGTACCCTCAGTTAAGACCCATAATGTTAATTCGCTTAACACTTCCAAATGAGAAATGCCGTATATTCCCCTTCTAGTTTACTACAATCCATGATATGCAAGATGGGCAACCCGGTTATACTGAGACATATGTTTTATTCTGAGTTTATCCTCATGATTCAATACTGGAATTCTTTGTTAATTTCTATGATTTATATGCGGTAATATATTATAAGCACCCCCACAATTCCTTCACTGTCTTTGTCTTCTCTTGTATTATGTGTATTTGCGGGTAATCACAATCAGTTTGTGCTTCATTATTCTCCTTATTACCTATCCATCTCAGTTTCCTTCTGATTCACATACACTGATTGCGCTGTAGGCTCTGTTGTTCTACATACAAACGTAATACTGGTATTTTTCTGTCTCTTCCTTTGTTTAATTTTGCCCATAATAGGTAATCCTCTGGACGAAATTAATCAAACCGCGTTAGCATATTTCCAGTAGTAAACGGGTTGTGTAACCGGTCAAGAGGAATCCTTAAATATAATTATTGCAATATTCTGTCTTCTCATCATCATATTGTAGGCCAAAGAATGCTTAACTCCTGTTCTTCACAGTTTTACTTAATTCGATTCTGTTAATCCTTCTATTCAGAATTAACGTCCCTCATAATTAATAATAAATTCATGTAGCAACTGATTCAACGATTGCATTGAGATTGGAATAAAATCCACAGCTCATCTTAGAACTCAATACTCAGGGGGGTAGTGTTCTGTCAGAAGATATCAGATTAAGACGAGTGAATCTCCCATCATAATAAGAGATAACTACTCATTTCCTGAGTAAATTACTAATTGAATAATTAGCAGAAATGTTTCCCACAGTTGGTTTTTCACTTTAGGGAATCATGTATTCTGGATAAACAGGGCTTCTTACCTGGGTTTTCCCACTCCGCCATCATAGTTTCACACTGCAATGAATACACATTAATGAAGGATTTGTCTAATATTGCAAAATGTATCAAAAAGAGGATAAAAAAGAAGAAACCGTAATAATTCCTCCAATGTTCCACTCGTCGATACCACCTATTGAGATATATACGCTAGATATTTATACGTAAATCTTACATATCTCAGCCGCCCCACTGCAGAGAAATCACGCTAAGCACATTTTTCGAATGATTCATTCTAATTGTCACATATTGTTATCAGGAGTTTTCGGCAATTATTTATTCGTTTTGCAAGATTGCCAGAGGAATCCCCACTTATCGTAAGGAATTTTGCTCTGTATATTGCCCTCTTTATCCATTTCTACTTTGTACTTGGAGGTTCACAATGAGCAGAGGATCCTCGCCCCCAAAAAAAGGAAGCAGTACAAACTACATTTCAGAAAATATAAAGATAAGAGAGAATTCATATTACATACGACTAGCGAAGGGGATTCTTTATGGTACACCTAATTCTTATTTTAACAGTCCTGAAAGATCATGCGCCACAATCGCGTATCATACAACAGCGAAAGGTAGCTTATATTAGATGCAAATGCCAGGACTATCCAGTCTCCGTATATTGGACAATAAGACTAGGAACCTAGCCATAAGGAGTATTATTAATAACTTCCCCTGTGTATTATACCTCGTATGTCCATTTTGCAACATAACCAATATTAACGCATATGAACAATATATTCACTCAAAGAATTAATTATGCACTTTTAACTCTGTTCATATGTCTCCGCAAAGGTATGAAACTCTGACCTGAAAATAAATAACATATCTTTTACAGTTATCAGAACATTACTCAAAAGGGCCAATCGTTGGAAATACTATACACACAAATATGTCATTCTACACCGCAAAGTAATGAATGCGCTGGGCACATAATATACGACATATACGAAACGAATTAACGAATAAACTGAAGAGGAACTGCGGAGACTCAGTGATTCCTTAGCAATCAATGACCAGTTCGGTGCTTACTTGCCTTTATTCAAATATTACCATGATTTCGATACATGAAATGAAAAGGATTCCATGTTACCGCAGAATTCTTCAAAAGATAGGTTCGCAGCACAAGGAACCGAAGTCATACGATTTATTTCCCTTTCTATGGTTCATAGAACAAGAACAATTTTGAATGAAATCTTGATTCAGACAAAAATGATTAAGAAGAATCAGCGCCTACGTGAAATTTGACCCTGGTCTCATGATCCACAGATTTCATTAATGAAATGCAACTGCAAATATAAAAACTTCAGGGAGACCTATATGAGGAAGTTACCTCATCACTGGACACATTCATGAATAATTTCCATTCAAATAACTCATAAGAAATAATAATGGAGCTTCCGAAAGTTATTTCAGTCAAAGATGATCCTACTGCATATACAATGAAGTACGCTTGGAAAAGAATTGTTGTATTGCTTCAATAAACCTTAGGTGACTTCTCTTTGGTCACACAATAGGTTTATGTGAGCATTCGTAAATACATTACAGAATGGAGGCCATAGCGACAATAGCATAAACAGTCCTTGCCTCCTATTGTTCCATCTACTTCTGATTATTTATACTACTGGTACGATTTTCTCAGGAAAGTTTGGGTTATTACGCGACCACTATTGCATATACAAAGTGCTACACGTTTCCTTCATATGTATACACTCTCAACCTCCTATAATTTAAGAAAAGAAACAGAAGCGTCATAGGGCTTAATAGTTCTTCTTAATAGTTACTTCAACTAGATGTACCGGCTATTGGGTTGAAGCTCCTAAATATGATTTGTAAACAACTCATGTATACGCAACATAGCTATGAAGTCACTTCTCTTCTGATTTATATCCTTGAATCGTATATAACTATCAAATAATTCTAGACTATTATTTTTTCTTATAAATATCCTCCTGTCATTTAAAGGCCTCCTTATAAAATCTATTAACTTCTATCGAAATTTACATGTAAGCATCACTATAAGAAGTGACTGGAATCTTACGCATTTTACCTATTGTTCTATACTTTTCTCAGTTTGGGTGGAACCACAGTTAACACTACGGATAGGGATGCCTCAGTTGAGGACACTTATGAAAATCGTTCTAATTTTTCAAATTACACATATCTTGTCTAGAACTCTTCAAAAAACAAAACCGTATTCTAACCAATTCTAATTACAATGGATTGGGTGAACCAGAATGTAATGTATAACTTCATATAATTGGACTAAATATGTGTTACTATTCCTTTGCAATCACTTTGCATCTATCTTGGAAAAGACATTTTTATAGCAAGACTCAGCAACAGTAGCTACATGTCAACAGGATACTCTGTCTTCGCGTCTCGTCCAATTAATATAGAACATATCTCAATAGACTCCTTATAGCGTAATCTAGAGGGAAATTCCGAAATCCTGTCGAATGGTTTGCCAATCTGAGCATATATCCCGCTCAAAATTAAAAAGTAAAGATTCTTTATCTTGTCTTCCTTAATGCCTAATTCCCTTATTAATCCTCACATATGTCCCCAAGATGTTCTTCATGCTGCGATACGCATAATACAAAAGATAAAATGAGATTCCAATATAACTATAGAAACAGTGGCACTGACGCATACAACTTAAAATTGTATTATTAGATATTACCATTACTAAATACAGACATGAACGTCCATAATGATGTCCATTATTACTTATGGGAGGCCCTTCCTAAATCAGATGTATATTTATACAGTGTTTATGTTTTGTATCATAATAGAACATTATGAATATCCTCTTTAATATGATCCCCCCCTTAGAGTAAAACCTATCTTTGAGTCACTACCACAATTCCGCACTTCAATGTATATATATGCCAACGGCATTCCCCCTAATTTAAGCATCCTTTTTCATATTAAGGAACAATAGCGGCTCAGTACAGTATGCACATTGACCTTGTCAGTTCTGAGTCTAGATAGGGAGGCTGATAGTTCTCTATAAGATATTTAGTGGAAAGAATGAATCCCCCTCTTATGCATAATGAAATCTCAGTAAAACATTGCATGAGTGAAATGATTCATACACATCCCTCATAGATAAATATAGATACTTCCATTAATAATTACATTAACGCGCTCAAATAAAATATATTAATAGAGGTGTACGATATCCTCCCTAATTCTTAATAATCACATTTAAACCGGAGGTCACTATTCTTCATACATAGACGACAGTTGCCTTTATGTAATGTTATGGATAATAGTTTATACACAAAATAATTAACAGGTACTGGAGAGATTATACAAAATGGGGCTATGCCTGCTAATATACTATCATTATAGTGATGAGTCCATTTTAGTAAAGAAAACATACATCAGAAGATTCTTCCAACCCAGTGAATGTCTGTTATATTCTTATCTGAACAGGAGATGCGCCTATCACTTCCCTTAGGTGGGGGTCCATGCTTCCTCTAAATTTCTTTCTAATTTTCATAGAAGGCTTCCTCCATGCGCATACAAATAGATATACAGATTGAATATCGCAAATTGACAACCAATAGAGAACATTTAAAATATTCTTATCAGAGAGTGGGGAGACATTCTCTTGCAAGTTAATAATAAACATGCTAACAGCCATCTCGCGGCTAATTATCTGCTTTCCTGTTTGAAGTAGTAGGAATAAATTACTGATAGCTTTCTGATTTGAAACATAAAAAATCAGTCGAATAATGTCTGCACAATGCGGGTGTACAGTATAATATATAATAGTCATCAATATAATTTTATGGAAGAAGTATGTTTATTCAGAGAGCACACAACTTTAATACAGGACGGTAATCTAACAATTCCCATATAAGCGATGGATTCACCGCGATAACCTTATAATCGGCATATATTGTAAGTATAAGTAAAAACTTCCTCCATTGTGTATGAACTATGGGGATGATGCGAACTAATGGGCGCAATTTAGATCTGTGTACATAAGGGAAGAGATAAATTAACACCGCAATATTAAGCTTCTCCCATTCTGACACCGTCTCATAGATCTGTCTGTAGAAAAACAGTAACAGGATCTATACTATTTATCCGCTTCCTTCCGTCTGTATTTCAAGTTGGTGATATCAGAGTGATAGACTTTGTTCTGCATGATAAAACATAAAATACGAACAGTAATAGTATGAATATATCACAGTCCTAGCTAAAAAGCCATAATAAAAATGATATCTTTCCCTGCGACTGTTATTATCCTCAATTAAATACAAGGGTTAATTTAATAGACGCCACATATACCTATCTTTTCTATAAGGATAGGAGCATTCCACAACACCAGCGGAATTCATAACCGGAAGGATATCCTCTCTAAAAGTGGAGGCCAGGGTTGTACACCACTCTCTTAAACCCGCCTGTACTCCAAAGTCGTATGTAAAGATTCCTCGTAAAAGCGGGAGATCTAGTGATAAATAGGAGTCATTCAACATGTGTTGCCATATTTCAATAAAAACCTTCAAAAAACCGTGAAACAACAAACGTGTTGTGTACCCATCCCATAGTGATCGTATCATTAGGAGGAGTTCAATAGTGAGATAGATGGAGAGGAAGATACACATTCTAATATCAAAAGGAACAACTGAGCAAGACACCATCCAATAGTATGGATCACCATTAATATAGATGAATATGTGCTCTATAATTCAGCGCCTCATCGCCCAATGTATCCCTCCCGGATTTTACAAATATATCCTATGGGCGAAGAATAAGAATGAGACAAACAGGATAATAACACTCCGTCAAGAAGTCTGTTGTCCCTCTGTATATATCTCAATGAAGGAGACAAACAGAGTCTAAACATTGATTGTTCTGTATCATTATATTAAAACACTTAACATATATTGAATATCCACAGAGTAATAAGAAATCTACAAGTCTATGTCTTATTCTATTTTCCCAAAAAAATAAGAAAACAACATGGAAGACAAATCAAAAGGGACCCATTAGAGACAACAAGAGAAACCACGATTACAACTAAGAAAGGGAGATGATAAAGTAACTCCAAGGGGAAAAGAAACCACCCCAAAACCCAAACAACGCACTAATGCCTGGAAACAGTGGCAAAGGGTCGGTACAATAAAGTCAAAACAAACGACATTAAATCGTGTTTCCTGGACAGTACAATTTTGGAAGTGATGAAAAAAACTCGAACGCAGAAGGTAAGTCATTAACCTTAACTCCTAGACCCTAAGTCATACACGATAAAGAGAAACCATTGAAAACTAATTAATGAGACAAGGATCAAAAACATAAGCCCTAAAGAGAACACAATAGACAATGACGCGGCAGATTAACAGGAGTAGAGAGCACACGTGATAACTGAAGCCAAGGCCTCCACCAGCCTGCCTTAGGGAATGATACAATCACATCAACCAACAAACATTAAGGCATCAACCTAAGAGCAAAAAGATGGACGATGCAACCTACCCCTGGAGTCAAAAGATAGAGATGAAACGTGCAAAAGTAGCCGTCCCACTCATGAAGAAGATCTGGTCCTGAAACGTATAGACTCGACGATGAACCGTAATTCCGAATCGACCACCATGAGAAGTGGTGTGTAAACCGTCGGGGGACCCCCCAACATCCTGAACATTCAAAAGGAAGGAATGATCCAAGACAAAAAAACTAAACCGGTACCCGTAAAAAATTAACCGCAAGGATGGACCATAAACCGTACAAGTACACCATGAGGAGCCAGCATTAGTAAAAAACCATGGAAAAAACCCTAGAGAATAACAGCCATGGAATGTACAAGATACTCCCACTACTATTACCGTAGCTCGTGCAACCCTAAAAATGGTCTTCAAGCAAAACAAATCTAAATCGTAAACCCTGGGCGCGTACACTTACTTATTGAACAAAAGGCATAAGCAATACATAAAAAAGAAGGAACCCTCATAATGCCAATAACCCCACACAAATAACCAAAAGGCAAAAGAAGACAACTGCAAACTCTACACAAACCCCCTAGATGTAGAGAATAGAGAATTAATTAGAAGGCTTAGACGATGAAGCGTACCCCGAAGGAAATAATAGATTATGCCCAGCCTTTAGACACCTACAGCTGAGAAATGCCCCAAATCGGGATAAAGAATAGGCCTACAGAAGCAGAAATACAAAACAATAAGGAAAGACTAGTCAGAAAGAATCCGACCTGAGAGTTACATCAGACAAAGTATAGATACGGGCTACCCCAGCAGATATAGCGCCTCAAACCAGGAGAAGCCACAGAAGGGCGGGAGGGTTCTAAGTGAAAAACAATCATAACGAGGGTGAGCATAACTTAACCCAAAAAACAGCGGCATGATCCAGCAAACAAGCGATGAGGATAAAAAAAGGAAAAATTGAAAAGGTAGAGGAGAAAGTATAGCCTAATGAAGGAAAATACAGGTTCAGCATAAACAATTCAGAGGATAAAATGCCAAACAGAAAATACAAGTTCGGGTATGAATCATCAGAAGCAAGCAATAAGGAATCCAGAAAAAAGCTAGAAAACAACGAGGACCAAAATAAAAGCCATGCCAGAGAGACTAAGAGGCATAACAAAGACACCCTCCAGCTTCAACTACTAGAGGGTAAGCCGAGAAGAATAAAACATAAAAAGTAGACAATGCAAGGCAAAACACTAAACCGTAGGAACCCCTAAAGACACTTAAGGAAAGAATCCGTAACTGCTAAGCTGTGAATTAGGCAGCGAAAATCTAAGAAGTAGAAAAGGCAGAACAACAAAATAAAAGTAACAGATCAGTCCTAAACCTTTGGCTATGAAAACTTAAGAGACACAGTAGACAATAGAAGAAGGAAACTCAGAAATAAAGAATACAACAGATATCGGAAACCACAAGCTTAAGTCCTAAAGTTACTCCCAAATCATAACGCTGAAGAAAAAACCTACAAGCTAAAAAACCTCCCCCTGAAAAACCCCCTAACAAATAAAACTTGATAACTCAGCATAACCTTAAACCTTAACCAATCAAGAGTACAAACAGAAAACAAGAATCTCCCCCGAAAGCCTAACACATGGCCACTGAAGAGAAATAGTGACCCCGAAAACTCAACATGAAGCATGACGCCTAAACATAAACCCTGAACCCTGAACGATAATCAAAACCCCAAGAAACCCAACCCTGAACCGTAAACAGGCATTCTTAAAAGCTCAAAAAATACGAACACAAGCGTAGCCCCACAAATAAAATTAAAGCTGGATCCTCACCCCAGAAACTGAACCAGAATCTAAAACCCAAAGCCCATAACCCCATAACCCTGAATCATAGAAGTCAAGCCGAGAACCTAAACCCTACCCCCTGAACACTAAGCCAAAAAACATAGGCCATGAACCCTAGACAATAACCCCTGAAAATTGAAGCTACAACAAAAACCCAGACAAATTAAGATGAAATCTAAAACTCTTCCTTACACGCAAACCTATAAGACAATCCTAAATCCTCAAACCTGAAGGCTGAAATCGTGACCCCTAAAACTGAACCTTAAGCCATGAAATAACCACCCTGAGCCCTAGACGTTGGACAGTAGACTCTGCCCCCTGAGAATAAGCGTTGAAGCCTAAACCCTGAACCCTAAACCCTAAACCCTAAACCCTAAACCCTAAACCCTAAACCCTAAACCTAAACCTAAACCCTAAACCCTAAACCCTGAACACTAAACCCTAAACCTAAACCCTAAACCCTAAACCCTAAAACCTAAACCTAAAACCTGAACCGAAAACCTGAACCCTGAACCACTTAACGATGATTCGTGAGCATTAAATCTTATGCCGTAAAGCCTAAAACATGAACATTAAACCCTAAAACTCAGCCATATCAGTAACCCGTGAAGCCTAAGGCTTAATACATGAACCCTAAACCCTGGAACCATGAACCCTAGACACGAGACACTGAACCTAGACATAAACGCCAGAACCCTAGACCCTAAACCTAACTGATAAACGTGAAGCTAAAGACTCACACTCCACTCCTCCCCTCCACAACCTACTACCTGGAGTCGTCAACCGTCAAGGCTGAAGTCGGGAAGCTTCACCCTAAACGTAGACAACCCCCCCCCCCAATATACGCTAATCCCTTAACCCAATCCGCCGTTCCTTAAGTTATTCCTGGGTCTTGTTATATCCTACTCTTCGGGGTGCTGAATTTCCCCTTCTGTCTTCTCTTTTCCGTCCAAAAACCCTCCAGAAACCATACGCCCCCAGGGTTGCAAAGATAAAGACTAGTACTCCCCCTATTATTCCCCCCACAGCCGTAGTCCCCCCTGCAGGTTCCAGCTCAGTCTTGTTGGCGTTATAAGCCCTATCAACTCCTGTTTGTGCTGCATCGCCTAGCATTCGAGGTTTCCCTGATTCACCTCCCCCTTCTGGTCCGTCCGGGTCCTTCGAGTCTCCTGAAACGTTCCGCCAATCCTGCTGGCTAACGCCTGGTTCCCCAACGGATTCCTTAGCTGTAGTGCCCTGTCCTTCAGCCGATTCCTCAGTTGCACCGCTGTGGTGTGCAATCGACTCTTCAGCTGTATGTTCTCTTGTTTCTATGACTCTGGCTTCAGGGGAGGGATCCTGAGGCTTCCCCTGTAATTCAACTGATCTGTGTCTTTCTTTCTCAGGTTCTAACCCCTCTTTGCCTTCTTGTGCCCCTTCTGAACCAACTGGGTCCTGCCTCCACGCCCCCCGCTGGAGTGTTCTGGCTGTGTCTCTTGTTGACCTAACTTCCTTTACTTCTACCGTCAGTTCATCCCTTACGGTTTTAACCGTGGCCTCCTTCCCTGAAAGATATTTCCCCATATTCTCTGTTGTCACTGTTATTCTTGCTTGGTCCACCCTATGTGTTTTGGTTAAGGTACCTGCTCCGTTAAAGAGATAATTCTCGCTCCCTTCCTTCTTGCCGCCCCCGGGGTGTATCCAACCACTTATCTCATATGATTGCTCCCTTCCTAGACAGTTCATGAGACTCTCTCCTATATTCAGGATCAAACCTAGGCTCAATTCTTCACATCCCTCTTTCCTGCTGCCACTATAACAGGACTTGGACTTGTTCATGAAACTTTCTCCCGTGTCCTTCAGATATGTCTGCCACGTGTCCTGTGTCACTGATAACATATCAGCCACTCGTCCGCACGTAGCTTTATAGTTCTCCAATTGCCCTAGGGGGCCCTGAACCAATCTATACTGGAAACCCACGATTACACAATATATGGCTCTTAAAACTTTTCTTCCATAGCTATGTTGATCCCATGATTGAGCCTCCGTTACCTCACTTAATATAGCCCTCCAAGTTTCTTTATCCCATCCCCTACACCGCCTTAATTCATCCCCCTTGGTGCATCGGATAGTTATTCTCTCCAACTCCCTAATCACGCAACCCATCAAATCCTTCCACGTGGAGCCTTTCCCTTCGTCACTGCTCCCCCTCAGATTTAGCTCGCTTGCTGTTGAGGACTCGTCCTCATGGGTCCAGCTACTGCTGATATTTTCCACATTAGAACTAACCCAAGTGCCCAAATGTGCTTTGCTGGAAATTCCCTTCAGGTCTATCCCCCTAAAACAATACGCTCCGCTCTTTCGACCCCCTCCACACGGTTCGGTACTCCTCTGGATATCATACTGAGTATTCCCCCTCCGATCCCATAACCCTAAGTTCCACATACTGCTGCCCGTCATTCCGGATTTGGCTTGTCATACTCGCTCTTTGCCTCGCATGGCTTGCTTGTGTACTGTAACCTTGCCATATTCCGCTCAACACTTAGGTCCTGGCTTCTAACTCCACTCCTCTCCTCTTTTTTCCTTATTATGCTCCTTGCCTGAGGTTGCCTCGCCGCTCGCCTCCTTCCCTTTTTGACTCCGATTCTCTGGTGTCCCGTCCCCTGTTCCTCCCTGTCTCCCCTTCTCTCCTTCCTCTCCCCTTTCTTGGGTGGGGGTTAATCGTGGAACCGTCTCTCCTTATCCTCCTCCTGTCCCTTCTCCTAAATCCTTCTCGCGCTCCCCCTTCATCATCCCCCCTTGGGTCGTCTCCTCCTGCTGTTAACGCCGCCCTTCTTCCCCCTGCCCCGGGTCCTGACCCTTCTGTCAACGCCTCCTTGCTTTTTCCCTGTTTCCTGATGGATTCGTATGACTTTTGTTCCTTTTTGGTCATGGTGGCTGTCTTCTCTCCTTTCTTTGTGTTCTTCTGTTCCCTCCTCCTTCCTCTGTCTCTGGCTTCGGATGCTGGATCCTGAATTCAGATGCATGTTCGCATTCCTCGGTTTTGGTTCTAGCCGGTGCCCTCCTCCTTCTTGAATACCTTCTCCCCCTTCCTCCTACTTGTTCCACCCTGAACATCTTGCTTAGGCTCTCTGTTCCTCACTCTTCCTTTGTGTTACATTCCTGACTATCCCAACGCTTCCCTCTGGGGTGTCTTTTCCTTTGCCTGTCTTTTCCCCTTCTCTCACTCGTCCCTGCCCTCCTCCTCTGACTCCTTGTGTTGAGGCTCGCAAGTTTCCGTTTTCCCTAACCCTCGCTTCTTCTTATTACTTTTAACCCTCCTCTTCCTCCTCCTTCCTCTCTTCATATTCATCCAGTTCACTTTTTCGCTTGGCTGTCACCTATTTCTCCTTTTGGGCTTCTCCTTCGTTCCCCCTTTCTCTGCATATATTGACTCCCTCTTCTGATTTCACGACCTTTTCCCGTAGTTTCGCACCGCCACTACTAAATCATCCTCCGCCGACCCCCTTCTCATCCCCTTGATCTACCTTTTGAGACTGAGAAACCCTCCGATTCGTTCTAGGATCGTCTGGTCCTCCTCTATCCTTTTTCACCCTCACGTTCCCTAGAAGACGGAGCTCCCTTAACTCTTCCTTCTCTTCCTGCATTGGTCATATCCCATTGCCCCCATTTTGTCTGTCCCCCTTGCCCGTTCTTCTCCTGATCTTCCTGCCTGGTGTCTTGATGTGGGATCCTATCCTACTGCATCCTACTTGTTCCTCCTTCTGGTTTCTCTTCGTCTGCTCCTTGTTCGAGATATCCTTGGTGGTCCCCTGTCTTTTCCCTTGTTCCGTCCTCTCTTCCTCTTCTACCATTAAATCCTCTTTAACCATCCCGTCCCCTGATGGTCTGCCCCCAGTGCACCCTACCTTATAATTTCTAGCCCCTTCTGCGAACATCTTCCTTGCCCCTGGGCTGTCTTTCTCTGCCTCTCCTCTCTTTTCCGATTTCCCCACACCCTTTCACCCCTCTGCGGTTCTGATGTTTAACTCAGATTTTCTTTGCTACCCCCCTATGCACCTGCCCTCGGTTCCTTGTCTCAACCTTTGCGGTCATTACCACGCCTGTGGCCCCTCTCGGATTTGTCCTGGCCTGTCCCTCTTCTTCGAGCCGTTCCTGTCCTTTTGAACTCGGCTTAAACTCCTGTTTTCTTCGCCATTCCCTCCCTTGTTCATTTGCCCTTTCTCTCTCCACCTTTGGTCCGCCGTGCGTCTGCGGAGCCCCCCTCTAACCTACCATTTGGGAGCTCCCAGTTCCTTAACCCCCCCGCTGATACTGTAGGCTATGCTGGCCTCTCCCTCGTTGTCAGGGAGTCCGCGATGTTTGTGACTGCTAGGCTTGACTCACTCACCAACTGAAGTTCACAACGCCCCTTGTTGCCGTCCTTTTTCCTCCCCTGGCTCTGGAGACCCTTATTTTCTGCTGCTCATGGTTTCTCCCGCCTTCGATGGATATCTCATAATTTTCCCCCTCAGACTTCTAAACCCGTCAATACTTTAACCCTTCTTCATCTTGTCTGACTCAGGATTCCATATCTCTTTCGTCTCCGCACCCGGAGAGTCCCCTTCCTGACTCCCTCGTGTTTGGTAGAAACCAATTCCTTCCCTGACTGAGCCTCGTCTTATTAACTCCCCTCCTGCTTCCAGACTTTAACCACTGCACCTCTCTGCCCTCCTACTGCGGACTCCTGTGGTTATTTCGCCCTCTTAACCTCTGATTTCATCTCTCTCGGTGTCTCCTTTGTTTGACGTGTTCACCTTGTTCCTCAATTCCCTTCTTGGTCCTGATTTTTGGTTGCTTCTTCATGTTCTTAATCTACTCTTCTCATTGTTTGTTGAGGAGCTGCTCTCTCCGTAGGCTGCTGGTGATCCTCTCCTCCCATCTCTACTCTATGAGCCCTCAATTTCTGGTTTCGCTGAAATCCAGGGCCTTCACCGCAACAGTTCCTCCTCCTTTGTCGTGTTTAAAGGATTATTCCACTTCCCCTTCCTCCTTCCTGTGTCATTATCCTCAGAGTTATTGACCCTTTATTGATGTCCTGCAAGGGCCAGATGATTCAGCCTATCTCGTCGGCAGTTCGATAATCTGTTGTCGCTGTTGATTTGTTGCTGTCTCCTCCTGTTTCCTCTCCAACTTTGCCCCTCCTAGTCACCTGTTGGATCAATCTCCTGTGCCTCCCTGTGGAGGCGTTATTCTTCTCTCTCCCTGTTTCTTGGGTTTCTGCAGTCACCTTTGCGTGTTCCTCTGAGAATTTCTCCTACCTGTGGCCCCTTGTAACCATGTTTCCTTTAACCCGGATCGTTCCTGAACTTTTTCGTCTCTTGGTCTATTCCCTATTTTTTCTACTGTCTCCCTCTCGGCTTCTCCTTGCTGCTGGCTCCTTTTGGTGATGTGGCCCTGGCTTCTCCGCCTCCTTATTCCCCTCAGGACCTCAAATTGCACTCAGTCCTCATCCGTCCTGTGGTTGTTCATAGTTGGAGTTTCTCCTCCACCCCCCATCTTACTTCATCCCCTCTGTAATTCCCTCTGGGGGCTGTCTTCGCTGGAGAACGACCGGTCTGAGGACGTTGACCCCTCGTCTGACTGAATGCGTCTGGGGGGATCTCGCCCGCTACTCATGCCGAGGAGATCTCCGGAGGACTATTTATGTCCTTTGTGGTTGTTTTCTAACTTGTCTTTTTCTTTCTCTGCAGTTGGCCTTGATTTCTATTTTGTCCGAATCTGGCACCTCTTTTTTCTCAGCTAGAGAGTTCTTGCGTATTTTCCATTTAGACTCTTTATCTTCATCTTACTTCTATTTTTGTCCATTTGTTCCTACTTCTCACTTTCTCTTCTGTGAGATATTTTTTCTTCCTCTCCTTATTTGGCCCAATATTCCGTCCCTCTGGTCTCGGTCCACTCGTCTTTCTACTCCCTTCACGTTTATCCTACTCTTCGTTCTCTTTGGTCCTTTCCTCTTACCCCTTCATCCTTCCTCAGCCTTCTCGTCCCCTAAATTGTCTCCTCTTGTCAGATCCTCGAATGCCCCCTCCCACGCCATTTGGAAAGCTCCCTTCCTTTCCTTTTTTCATCCGATTTCGCCCACGTGCCCTTTCAGACGTCACTTGACTCTAAACTGTTCTGTAATCTTCGTCTTTCCTTGACTAGTTGGTTTGAAGACTCCTTTCTGGTGTGCTCAGGGGGGTCCCCTCTTTTGAACGTGTCTCTGACTTTTCTTAGCCTGATCAGTGGATTCAGAGTCACTTCCTATTCCTTCGTGCCTTACCTTAGGGCTGGTTCTAAACTTTCTTCGCCTGAGACTTCTGAGCCGTGTTTCTGTCTCGGAGCGCTTGGTGGAAGGGGCTGGTACTTAGGAGTTTTCGAGTTGTCTGGATACTGGAACCTTCCTCTCTTTAACGACTTGTACCTTGCTGCCTTGTCCTGATTTAACGATTAACTCTCCTCTGATCTGAATTTCTTCTTTCTATTTAATCTGGTGTGGCCTGGATTTGATATTTGTGCCCTCTCTCCTAACAGATTCTTCAGATTGTCACTTCTTTTTCTTCCCGCTTCTCAGAGTTCTCCACTCTTGATATTCGGAGGAGGTTTGTCCTCGTTCTCCACTGGGGTATGATCTTCTGCTCTGTCCTTATTATAAGGTGTCTAACCTGCATATTGTCTGAGGAATGAGCACCCTTTCTTCCTTCTTGACCCTTCTTGCGGTTCATTTTATTACTGTTGCTCCTTCATCCGCCCCTGACCTGATTGTTATTGCTTCCTTAGCCCTTATCTGCTCGGAGGGGGCCTATTATCAGTCTCCTGTTCCCTTGTCCCATCACCTTTCTGAATTCTCGGAGGAGCCCTCCTCTTTTGGGGGGTTTCCTATATGGCTGTCTCCTTGGTTAACTTACTCTGGCTCCTAACGGAGGTTTGTCCGTTGGTCTTCTATTTTCCGTCTCCTTCTGTCTGTTCCTGATTTTTTAGGTTTCCTTTTTCTGAAGGTAGCTGTCGTCGGAGTTGTACTACTTTCCGGTTAACTCCTTTTTTCATTTATTGGGGTTTTCGTTGTCCGGAGTTTCACGAGAGTTTTGTCCTGAGATCTGGGAGGTTGGTTCGTCCCTTGGTCTGTTGTCTTCTGAAGGGAGTATCTTTCCTCCCATTATTTTTTCGGATTGTTGCAAATGAGATAACGGGGGCATACTCTCCATCTTGAGTCCGGTTTGGAATTTTTGCTTTTGTGTTTGTTTGATCATTTGATTGAATATCGTTGTCTTCTTTTCACTCTTCTAAGTCTTTTGTCTGTTTTTGAGGCTTAGGGACTTGTTCAGTTTGGATGAGTTGCTTTTGAGTCCAGTTAGCTTCCTGTTGGGGCTTAAGAGGTCTGGTGAGTGGGGGGGGGGATGCTGAATTTCAAGGATCTGGGTTAGGGGTCTGTATGCCAGATCCCTTAGAATCATTTTATTCTTGTTACCTAGAATTAGGGACTGATACTGGCTTTGTATCAAAGGCGGTGGTCAGGGAGATTGTTCCTGTTGTTTCCTTGGTTTTTTGGTTTTTTCTGGAGGTTGTTTGGGGGATTGAGCTTGTTGATTCTTCCCGGGTTTTGTCGTGGTTGGGGGTTCGTCCTGATTCACGCCTGGGGGATATACTGAGGCTGTTTTTTGATAATTTTACTCTTTTTCGATTTTATCCCTGTTCCTGGGGTTGTTGATTGACTTCGTTTCCTTCGTTTCTAGATTTCTCAGTTTATTTGTATCTGGAGCTATCTTGTCCTTTTTTGTCATTTTGTGGGGGCCCCTGCTTCTTCCATCAGCTCTGTTTGCGATTAAGCTTCTGGCATCTTTTCTATTCGGTTCTCTGTCGTTACGGTGAAGAATTGTGAGCTTCTGGATTTGTGGGTCATTATTATCTAACTGAAGATGTCTGTTGACTTCCCTTTATTATTGAGAATTTACGTATCTGGGCATTATTCCTTCTCAGTCTATTCTCCTTTGGGGTTGGCTCTTCTCTTGTACTACATTTTTCCAACATTCTTATTATTTTGGTTGGATTGTTATCTTCCCTCATATCCTGCGGTTGTGGGGTGGCTTTTTTGTATATCCTTCTTTTTGGGCCTGAACTTGGTGTTCTGATACCGGCCTGTTTCTGTTGATGGCTATCCTGTTCTGTTTGATTTCCATATCAATTTGTTCCGGTCCTTACTGTGTGTCAGTTCGTTCTTGCTGGTTGGTACGGTTCCTCATCCAGATTTTTTGGGACCCGTCTCTTTCAATGGGGCCGTGGCTTCCCTTTCAGAGGTGGAGTTATCTTTTTCCCTTTGGCAGGTATCATCCTTAGGTTTCCGATTTTTTTTTGCGCTTTCCTTTTCTTTAGGCTAGTTTTCAATTCCTCGATATTCCTGGATTACCAGAAGGTGCGTCTCTTTTTAGTCGATGGTATCCGGCTTAGTCTTGTCTGGCTCTTGCTGTTTCTTCCTCTTTTATTTGTTCTTGTGACTTATTTCTATTTTATCATATCCTTCCTCTTGCGGTGTTGGTTTACTCCCTTTGATACCATTATTGGGTCGGTGAGTTCCTGTTAATGGGCTCAATTGTTCATCTCCTACTTTATTTATCTTTTATCTCCTTATCCAATCTTTTGGGCTGGTTGGTCTCTTAATAGTGCACTAAGGCCTGACTTTCCTTTGTGTTGCTCATTTGTTTCATCCTCAGATTTCGGTTTATAGTGGATAGTAATTGGTTCCTGTTTCGCTCTCTGACTTGATGAGAGGGTTTACGTGGTTAACCATTATTCCATATAATAACTTTTTATTACTATGCTGCCTATGGCTCTTAATAAATATTTGGTTCTCATTTAGGGGCGCTTGCACTCATTGGGTTGGCCTGTTCGTGGATCTTACTGATATTCTTCCTGTTAGGCACCCTTAAAATTCTATTTTGCACTTGCTTCAAAGAACACATATGAGGGGGGATTGTTCGTTTGCTTCCACTCTTCTATTACTTGGACGTTATGGCTGTCCCGCCTTAGGGTATCTAGCCCTTATGCTAGATTTGTAGTCCTCTTCTCTTCACGGGGGGCTAGCAAGTTGTCTTCGTCTTAGTTGCCCTGTGGAATCTTATATTTTCCCATTGTTCCTTGGCTCGGGTGTCTTCCTTATATCTCTCACGAGTTAGACATAATTGTTGTGGGTAGTTCCCCTGTGTCCTTATTCCATTATGTTTGTAGGATTTGTTGTGTTCAGTTTGGTTTGATGAATTCCACTCTACTTTTCCATGAGTTTTTAACTTTCCTGAGTTACCTGTGCTAAGATCTGGCGTGGGGGGGTCGCTTGGATTGCTATGTTATTGCGGTCTGTGAACCTTTACACCCTTTATGAAATTGCAGTAAGAATCCCAATATAACCTCTCACTTGGTGCCATCTCTTTAGGTTAGACTAGAATACAACATTAATACTAACTGTATTACGCACTTCCCTATATTATCAATTGATCTCGAAATCATATGTCATCATACAGTTCTTTTCTTCTTTTTTAGTCCTAATAATTATATCACTAATGCCTTAACTTATGAAACTGATAGAAACGGTTGCTTACAGTTTTACTACATTATAGGCATCCTTCAGTCACTTATACCATAACGTAGATCACTAATATTCATTCTTACCCTAACTCTTACTCGGACTTACTGCAATATTTTTTATGTCAAACTATACTTTCTACCATATTTTGTGGGCTACACTAAATCCGGTGCTATTAAAACAAATAGCCCTGTTTAGTGGGGGAGGGGCCTCGTATATACAATAATTATCATTCTCTTTAGAAAATGATTTCATCGATAATCTCTATTTTAATAATAAATACTGTCAGTACAAATCCTTAATCGAATTCTGGATTAATAAATAGAGGGATCGACACTTCTTTTTTATGGAAAGGATACTCACCTTTTAAAGCGCATTGAGTAGGGCTTACTTATTTCTTACAATATTTGTCCTGTCCTCCGACTTGTTGAATCTACGTATTTATATACTTAACAATAAATAAATCCTGTAAAACATTATTAGTGCTTTGTTCCCTGGATTTCTTCATTCACTAATGATTAACATATTAATCCGGTGGATATACGTCCTGCTAATTTAAATTAGAATTCTCAGGATCCTTAGGTTGTTACTGTATTAAATTAAATATTCCCCACACATTTGTTGATAATGAATATCTTATATTAATATGCCGCTCAGAGATAGTTATAAATAATATATTCACTCCTTAGACTAATCTTCAGTATTCTCATTCTCTTAAGATAGGTATCATGAATATCTTGCGGTGCGATTTACTATAAGAGATAGGGGACTATTCTATAGATAATACTATGCATATCATGCATTTTATTAATAGTTTTTAATTATACATCTGGTCTAAGAGATTGTTTTATAGATCGGGTAATAATTCATAAAACTATTAGTACGAATCTAGGAGGGAATCTTCTTCTTTTTCACACATCAATGCCACATCTATGAAAATACTAATTTAATCATATGACTCTTGCTGCTACTATTTTTTGTCGTTATACATTCATCATTTCTGAATTTAGGGACTGGAATATAGGATTCTCCTAATATGTTGTTCACTTTCTAACAACTTCATAATCCTTGTAAATAATAAGGTACAATTCAGATGTACCATATCCAACCCTAGGAACAGGAAATTAGCCCCTCATTATTGTATAATATAAATATCCTTTGCAGTGTTAGATTTTTTGTATAGCCGCATCTCTAAATATACCTTGGCTTAATATAGAAGATAGAACAATATAAACATTCATACGGGACTAATTATAATATTTATAATGAGGTCATTATCTAATGCCGACTATCCTATAACAGATATATCTGGCTATTCCTGTTTAGTGCTCAAGAAGAGGGATAATGTTCAATATGCCCCTCATGAACTGCACTATTCGAAATATTAGCGGAAATAGACAAGGGGATAAAAAAATAATTGAAAACAATCCAAATTGTGACTATACCCATAATAGTATGCACTCTTCCTGTTATATGAGTCCTTGTTCCGCAATGAACTGTAAAAGAAGGAAACCGCTGTGACCAATATATTTATTAGGAGAATGTCAAAACTTAAAATTACAGAAACAGAGGTAGGATAAAGATGAAAGAGGAGAAAAATCATTCCGTAACACGTGAAGAGAATAAGTAAAGGACTTATATGCCTCAATAACATTCTTACACTGCTTTTTTTAGCTTAATCCATAAATACGTGACGTATTAAAGATATGATATATTTTTTATGATTATAAATTTTGGATAAAGCAAGATACCTCCAATACATTAATTACACCCAAGACGGGTCAATTTTTGAAGGCCTAAATCGTATAATAATGACGACATATGAGCACGGCCGGCGTTGACGGTAATTTCGAAGAATGGATAAACTGGGGATATTGCACCCTTCTAGGCCGACAACTAAATATTCTCCTTCCTGCAGTTTCATAGATATATATAGTATGGCATTGAAGCTGAGCACACCATAACGGAGGATATCATGGGTGTGAGAGCTTAGAATATACTTTACATGTATGGTGAAGTATAACACATGATAAAACCCATGTAGCATACAACGGAAAGTCGCCAGTGTAGCTGTTAACAATGCGCACAAATATGGAGGCCGAGTCAACTTATTCGTCATCCTTAAATCTTTCAGCTCACGTGGATAGGACTAATTGCATATTCTATTGTTTAAGAACATCTGTACCCTTGTAGAATGGAACAATAAATTTGGAATTATACGGAAGCTAGCGTCTTTCCACATATAGTGCAGTTGAGGCCGATTTATGCCTGATGAAAACTTTCAATTTAAAGTAATATAGTCGAAATTGGCGAATAAATTCAGTCAACTGCGAATGTCATTTGTCAATAATTCTTTAAAAGAACATAGAATGAGGTCACATTATAATTTGCCCACCTGTCCTAAATGTAGTGTGACTCCTTCCAAGGCATTATTCCGCTTTTGCGCCTATTTGCTGCTGCGCTCAGGGTTTATTTGTAGGATTTGCATCTTTATAGGTTCCTGTACGACCCCTTCCTTCTTTTCTCTTATTTTGTTCTTTAAGTTTCATTTTAGGTAGGAATATTTGTTAATTTCTTCTTCTTTCATTCCGAGTCAAACCCGTCCTTCTTAAAATTATATATAATTCTGTTCTTGTTTCGCATTTCTCTTTAACAAAATGGATTACGCGCCATTGGTAAACCATCAACCGTGGAATTATATATAACACTCTGCCGCAACCTTGCCACACATTACATGAGTAGAAGCGCGAATGATTTAATGGATTCATTTTTAATGAGTCTCCCTACTGCCAAAATAGTGTTATATATAAAGAGGTGGGGGACTTTTCAAACTTAAGAAATTATTCTCATAGCCTCTTTGGTCATAATCACCAAAGGACTAGGAAAAAGTTAAATCAAAGTCATGTGAGTAATGCGATCGGAAGAATTGGAATCCTTATATTCGAAATCAGGGCAACACAGAATATACAGCTAACAGCACAACTTTCATGTCCGACCTTTGACAAGTAGTGATCCATGCAGTCAACATAGATATCTTATGATTACGATTCTAGATACAACGAGAAGGGACACCTTTACACTAAGCGTAGGGACACTGAATGTCCTAACTCTTCGAGAATCTACATCAGAAAGTATGTTATATCTTTACAGAAACAAAATACGTTTTAAGAAAGCTTCTAAAACTTCAAAGAAGAAATAAATCTCTTTTAAACAATTATATATTTTCATGCATAAAATCACAAAGGGTATTAGAGGATATTAAATCCTAGGGCAACAAATAAAATTGTAGAGTTTTTAATTCAAGCCATAACGCTCAATACAAGGAGGAAAAAATTTAGAAAACCAATTGATATAGGTAAGAAATTTCGTACTTATATATCTTTCTCGTTAACTGCTAATAATCACGTGTATTCTGACACATGAAGGTTTGCAATCAACTCCTCTCTTATTTGATGCGGTATTGGGCCCTGGAAACATCCCACCTCATATGTTACTGTAAGTGTCCTCTGCCTTCTCCACCTTGTCTTTTTCTCGGTTGATCCTTTCTCTGTGAACATTGATTTAGGTACTCTTAGTTGTTAGGTTACTTTTGTTCTTTCTGGTTATATGGGGCTACTTCTCTGCTGCATGCTTCCTTTCAGCTTCATGTTTATGTGTGTTGATACTGTTAAAGCAGTTATATGGTACTACCCTATATATTTATTTTTCCCCTGAAATACAGAATTCTTCTCAATGTCGCAGTACCTTCAATGTATGAACTTCATTTTGGGCATTTCCTCTATTTCATTTTTCTCTTCTCCCCTTCCTAAAATGATAAGTGCCCTGTATGTTATGGATATTCATATCCTCTTATCAATGATATCCTCGTAACATTAATGTTATCAACCCCAATGATATCCCAGGAAAAACTATACTCTGCATATAATACTACTTTTA